TATCATTCTTTCACTGATCCGACCGCAAAGGAAACGCCGCCATCGGTCTTGTAACCACTACGCCATGATGTTTGCTAAAATCATTAACGGAATGAGCCAGATTTGCATTAAAAAAAAGAGACGATTGGAGTCAATGTCATGCAAGTTTTTTTTATCTTCATTATCATTTTTCTTTGGTTCTCACTGTTCAGATTTATCCAGTAAAGGCAGACCAAGAGGTGGGGCCTGAATTTAGGTCCTATCAGCTCACATTGGCTTGAGTTTTCAACTTTCTGACTTTATTAATTTACTTCTCAGTAAATCAGGTAAATAATTCATATTTTTTGATTATGTCAGTAATTAAAGCTGCCATTAGCATTTACTAAGAATGTTCTTTCAGATCTTTATGAGTATTGTTCGAACTTTCACACCCAAGACCGGAATCTCACTTTGTACGATCTTAATACATGACAATCTTATATATGCTTTCCATTTCTTTGTTGCTAAGTGCTATGTATTTAAAGTTACCCGTATGAACAATATATTTTGCTATTCTCGCAGCTTCTCTTTTTGACAGTGTATTAAAGTTTGTAGTCACGGTATAAATAAGTGAGAAGATGATATAATTTGCATGAACCATTTAATTATTTCTAGATACCTTCATCTATTTTAGTTAAGTTACCTAAATTAGAGCATAGACACTCGCGACCTTAGAGTAGTAGGATCAAAGTTTAAACTACATCATTTGACTAGAGAGATAAAACCTTAAAAAAAATGGTCACAAATTTCTGGTACAAGATGAAATCTTTTCTGCTTGTGCATAGACTAAACTCAAGCACTAGCCCCGTTATTTTGAAGGGTGGATAACGCTATCCATTGAATTAATCTCTTTCTTGTAGACAGCATCGTACGTTTTGTGAACTCTTATCCACTGGATAGCGATTTATCCATCGGATAGCGTTATCCTCTCTTTGAACAATTGGACCCTGAAGTTTAAAATGCATAATGTGACTGCTACCGTGTATGTCTGCTTTCGAAATTTTTTTATGAGGAATTCATCCCCGCTGGAATCTAAATGAACGTTCTCTGAATCTTACCGATTTTCTGTATAAAGAGAAACGGGCAAAAATTTCTACACATGCATTGGCAAGACTTTAAGACAGATCACAAAAAACTGACTGGGTTATGAATTTAAATGCAAGCTATCATTATTAAAAAAAAATGACTGTACAAATAAACGTTCAAACGAGACCATATGTTTTAGTAGCCCGTCTCTAATTACTAGTTTTTACGCAAATACATTTTTTTGATTAAAAAAAAAATTTCTATAATGCTATTTAGCTTAACCCCAAACCAGATGAAGAATGCTTCAAACACAGAAAACACTTAAACCTGAAATTTCGACAATCACAGGAATGAGAAATGCAGCTCATACGGCTTTTAGGGAAGAAAATAATGTGCTAACCTTGGTTTACAGGACAGCTACAACCCTTCAATACTCCTCCAACGAATATCATAAGGATCATCACAAATATTACGAAAGACACCAAGCACACAAGAGTCAAGAGGGTCAACTGTGACCGGTTTGATCGCACAGGAGGTTTCCTCTTGCCTTGTACTTTACTCTCATATTGTGCCTGGCGAGAATTCCTCGTTCCAGTAGGAGCAGTGACTTCCGCGCGGTACGGCAATGGACGCGAAAAATTCGAAGGCGATGGTGGAATGCTATTTTCGTAAATCCAATCGTCGAAAGTTGGGTTAACAAACATCTGTCCTTCATGAACATCCATCGCAAACCTGTTTTTGTTTCAAGTTTCAGTCACAATATCGGCTGATGTGGTTTTCCTTAAGAACTATTCCTTTTTTTGTCTATGACCCCATGTGTACTTTACTTGTTTGTGTAATCTCATTAATAAGAAAAAATTCCTTTGTGATGCTTTGCATGCCATTTCGTGTTGATCCCAGTTAAGCTCACTAATACCTGTGCGCCTCCATAAATGTACGTCAAAAGTATTGATTTGGCTCGTTT